AGTCCCTTCCCCACCCAGGTGCTCAGCAACATGGAGGCTCCAGGTCACATCTCTGCCCCAGCCTCAGACAAATGACCACCCACAGTTCAGAAACAACACTCAATCCCGGCCATCAGGTTCAGTCATGAGACTCTCACCAAATGAAATAAGCCAAAATACAGAAAAAGGCGCTTGCACTGAAAATGTGCATTGAGGTGGTCCTTAAAACTAGGACAAGGATCTGGAGAGATGGCTCAGCAGGTAAGAGCACTGATTGCTCTTCTGAGGACCCAAGTTCGATTTCCAGCACCCACATGGCAGCTGTAACCCACAGCCATCAGTAACTCCAGTTCCAGGGATCCGACGCAGCTCTTCTGACCTCCTCAGGCATTGCACGGCATGGGTGCACTTATATACATTCAGGCAAAACACTCATACACGTAAAACAAAAATAATAAATTTTTTAAAAAACTAGGACAAAAGGGGAAACCACCTAAATATTCAACAACAAGGGACTCACTGTTCAAACAATGGCACACAGATGGGAAAGGACATTCCAGAACTGCAAATGGACAGTTGTAGACTCCAAATGATGACATGGAAATATTTGGGGACATAAGAGGGATCCACAAGACTCTCACGTGTTCATCTGCCTGGATTGGAATGACGCGGAAAGACCAGACAAAGCTCAGAAAACAACCCATGGTTAAAAGTCCTGGGAGGCTTATGGTTTGTTTGTAGTACTGAGGACCGAGCTTCAAATATACAGTGAGAAACGCTTTGTCTCTAAGTGGCATCCCAGACTGGATCTAGAAGTTTTGTTTGTGTATGTGTATGTGTGTGTGAGAGAGAGACAGAGACAGAGAGAGAGAGAGAGAGAGAGAGAGAGAGAGAGAGAGAGAGAGAGAGGAGATGTGTCTGTCTCATCATGGGTGCATGTGGCATAGTGCATGTGTGTAGGTCAGAGGACAACTTTTGATAGTTGGCTCTGTCCTTCCCCTGTGTGGATTCTGGAGATCAAACTCAGGTCCTTAGGCTTGGCAGCAGGCCTTTACCAGCTGAGCTATCTCATCATCCTGTAGGTCTGAGAGTTTTAAAGTCATTTTAAAAAAAATGACTTATTTTTATGTGTATGAGCATTTTGCTTGCATGTATGAAAGTGCACCCATGTCATGCCTTGCCTGAAGAGCTATAAGAAGACGTTGGATCCCCTGGAACTGGAGTTATTGACAGTTGTTAGCTGCCATGTGGGTGCTGGGAACCAAACCTGGGTCCTCTGCAAGAGCAGTGCTGGGCCGTCCCTCCTGCCCTTTTGAAGTCATTTTTCTCTCTTTCCCCACCCTCACCTCTCTTCCTTTTTCTTTTCAATTTTTCCCTTTCTTGTCTAAGATTTATTTTATTTTTTTTAAATTTATGTGTATGAGTGTATTGCTTGCATGTGTGTAAGTGCACCCATGTCGTGCAATGCCCAAGGAGGTCAGAAGAGGGCATTGGATCCCCTGGAACTGGAGTTACAGATGGCTGTTAGCTGCCATGTGGGTGCTGGGAACTGAACCTGGGTCCTCTGCAAGAACAGCCACTGTGCTTAACTACTGAGCATCTTTCCAGTCCCCTTTCTCCTCCTCCTTTTTGAGATAGGGTCTCATTATGTAGTTCTGGCAGGCCTGGAATTTGCTATGTAGACCACACTGGCCTCGAACTCACAGAGATCCACCTGCCTCTGCTTCTCAAGTGCTAGGATTAAAGGTGTGCGCCACCACGCCTGGCCTTTTTGTTCTTTTGAGACAGGGTCTCATCTAGTTCAGACTGGCCTTGAGCTTTAATTTTTTTTTTTTTTTTGTCTTTTTTGAGACAGGATCTCCCTGTAGCCCTAGCTGTCCTGGAACTCACTATGTAGACCAGGCCAGCCTTGAACTCACAAAGATCTGCCTGCTTCTGCCTCCCAAGTGCTGGGATTAAAGGCGTGCACCACCACGCCTGACATGGCTTTAATTTTTTTTTAATCTTGCCTCCATCTCCAGAGTGCTGGTATTGCAGGTGTATGTCATCATGCCTCTCCCCTCTCCTCTTCTCTTCTCTCTCTCCTCCTCTCCCTCTTCTTTCTCCCCTCCCCTCCCCTCCCCTTTTCCTCTTTGCAATACTTGGATTCAACCTAGAGCCTCAGGCTTGCTAAGCACAAGCTCTGCCACTGAGCTACATGCCCAGCCCTCCTCTCATGTTTTCTTTGAGGGGGACACACATGGTTGTATTGCTCTTAAAGAACCTCTGCATGAATGTCTTTAAAGGTATTCCAATGGAACAGAAGAATTTGTCTTAGAAAGTCCTCTAGAGAAAACCCCATGCTGGAGAAAAGTCACATTGGGTGTACATACTTCCAGAATTTTCTCTGTGCAAACTGTATCATTGCTGTTGTATTAGTATAGAAATGGATCATTGTTTAGGGTCCTAATATAGTGTGCCCCACACATCCATGTGTTCCTAGTAGCAGTGATGGCTACTAGATAGTGGTTCATGGCATCATGATTTCTTCAATGAGACCCCTGCTGATGGACATTTGGGTGGCACAGGCACCTATGCATGGGCCATGTGTCATTGTAGAGGTGACAAGTAACTCCACTGTTGGCTTTTCTTTTGACTCAAAGTCTCACTATGTAGCCCAGGCTGGCCTTAAACTCATGTCAAACCTCCTGCCTCAACCTCCCACATGTTGAAATTACAAATATGTACCACCACTCCTGGCTTAGGGCTGACTTTTGAAGTTGACGTATGAAAGTAAAGTTATGTACAAAAGCCAGGTGTGGTGGTGCACGCCTTTAATCCCAGCACTTCGAAGGCAGACACAGGGGAATCCCTGTGAGTTTGAGGCTAGCCTGGTCTATATGGCAAGTTCCAGGTCAGCTGAGGCTATAAGGAGACCCTGTCTCAAAAAGACCAAAATAAATAAATAAATAAATAAATAAATAAATAAATAAATAAAAGTTATGTACAAGTTATAATTTTAGAAAATTCTGCCAAATTGTGCCCCAAAAGGCTGGATCCATTTTCACCTGCGTCCTGAAATAATGGTGCCTGGGTTGCCCACCCACTGAAGATCTGCGTTCTGCATCCTGGCCTAGAACTGTACCTCATCAGCCACTTGGTGGTCTGGGTGACCCAGACTGTGAATGAGTCAAGGCATTAACCCGTGGTCACAGGTGCAGGACCAGGTCCTCTCTGCACCCAGATGCAGAGGGATACATTTCCAGGAGTTTTTGGTAAGCAGTTGTCAAGCATGGTTATATTACAATCAATAAAGTATTCTCCAGGTGTGGTGGCCCACACTTCTTTTAATCCCAATACTCAGGAGTCAAAGGCAGGTGGATCTCTGTGAGCTTGAGGCCAGCTTGGTTTACATAGCAAGTTCCAGGCCAGCCAGGGCTACATAGTGCGACTTTGTTTCAAAAATAAAATAAAATAATAATAAAATAGTTGTGTATATGTGTGTGTATATATATATTTAAATGTATATAGATATATATTAGGGTATAATATAGACCTGTCAGAACTCATTACTTCTTGGTTATTTTACCCCATTTACTATCATCTACGCCTTTGAGGGTGCCTGTGCCCCTTGCCTCTTTGAGGGAGATATGTCACCACTGAGCTTTGATTTCCAGCTCCAAATCTGAGGGTTGGTGGCTTGAAATCAGCCCTGATGAAATTCATCCCTCTGAAATCAGCACACCTGGAATTCAGGACAAACCCTTGTTACCTGTATAATCCACACCCCATTCTCCATCCTACAAGCCAGACCCTAAAGGTCTGAGTGGCTCTGCCTCTACTAACCCAGAGGAAGAAAACCTGGAGCCCTCTCCTGAGGCTTAGGCTGGGGCTCTTGTTACAATAGGTGGACCTGGAGGGTCAGAGCGTCCATTTTCTCCTCTGGAAAGTGGGGTGATCAAGGCAGCAATCTTGCATAGTCACATGTAGTCAGAGCAAGTGTTCTGGGGAGTTCACAGGCCTGGAGTCAAATCTCTGCTAAGTCACTCAGTGCCTCCAAGACTCAGTTTCTGGTCGACCAATGAGGCAGTGGCAAGAGATTCAGCAAACGTGGATTAAGGGCTTAAAGATGCTACCTACCATCTCCACCCCCTTCCTCCCCATGCTCATGACTCCTCTCATCCCTGAGGAACCCTCTGAACATGCAGGTGGGCAGCTGGGTGTCCACAGGGCAGGCCAGTGGCTAGAGGTGGCTGAGGAGCAGATGGGTTGAGACCCACAGTTAGTGGGGCTGGGGTCCCCCAGCTCCTGGTCACACCTCCTTTGGTCAGTTGACTAATTCGCAATCCCTTGGAGAAGGCCCAGGCTGAGAAGCCCCACAGAACCCCTAAGCCTGTGCTCTTTTGAAGGAGGATAAAGGTAAGGCAGAGCACGTGGTCCTTGTGGGTTCAATAGTGTTCCGGGAGTGCATGAAGCCGGGAAAGATGGGAGACTGTGAATGGTAAAAACAACAGAACTCTTTGGGTAAGGATGACTTCACCACCGACCTTCACTAGAAGCCCTGCATTGCTGAGAGGCATCAAGGTCACCCCCCCCCCAAGATCACACAACAAAGAAACAATGAGGTGAAAGCTGAACTCAAGAGCTGAAATTTCTCCGGTGCCCTCCTTCCGGCCAGAACATGCCTCAAGTAGGAAACTCAAAGCTCAGAGAGGGTTGGAACACTGGCAGCGCTGCACAGCACTCTGGCTCCTGGGCAGCTTGGGAAGATAGTGGAGCACAGGGGGAAAGAGAGCAGGCCCAGGGCTAAGGTAAATAGCTTATCCCACTTTGACCCAGACTTTTAATGCATAAATCCGGTATCCTGTAGAACCCTTCAGACCCATCAAACTGAGAAGGTTGGTGATCCCCACTTCTCCCCAACACATAATGGGGTGGCTTCACCCAGCTGTGAGCTTAGGATGCAGGGGTAAAACCAGGAACACCCAGGACCTGGTTTGGGCACTGAGGAGCCTGTCCCCACCCCATCCCTGGACACTTACTTGTGGGCCCGAAGCTGCAGATCGCCAGCAACAAGGCAATGGCCAGGGGGAGTATGCCGTGGTCCATGCTGTCCACCCGGGGGTCAGCGCGCTGGGCCTTATCCAGTGTCCAGAGGCAGGGCTGCGGGTGGGCGCCGGGGCCGGCGTGGGCTCGCACGGGGACCCGAAGGGAGCAGGCGGCCGGAGCGACGACGTCCCTGCTCCAGCCTTCTGAGGTGGCGGCCGAGGAGTCAGGAGAAGTGGGCACCGGACTCACAGCAGGGCAGGGGACTCTGGCTGACGGAGGACTGTGGGAAAGGGGTGCTGGGTTCCTGTGGACAGCAGCTGGCGGCAGTCTTGGCCTGGGGATGGGACACAGATGGAAGCAGGGGTCTGACCGTCGCGGCAGGGAGCTCAGCTCATCCAGCCCGGCCCAGGGAGGCAGGAAATGCGCTTCCTTAGAGAAGGGGCCGGGCCAGGCTGCCTGCCAGGCGGGTAGAGGAAGTGCCACAGGCTTTGTCGCTGGGTGGGGGGCCCTGGGATGGGGGGAGGCAGGTTGATGGGAGGGCTGTAGGCTTGCCCCCCCCCCAAGCATCCCATCCTCCATCCACTCTTGCCAAGGCTGTCTGGTGGGGAGCACATCTGGAGACCTCACACTGGGGTCAGGCTCTGGCTGATGTCATTCATGGGGGACCTCAGGCCCCAGCAACTCAGGTTCTAGTCTGCAGATGAGGAAACGGATGATAGGCCGAGATAGCCGATCCAGAAAGATGGCGCCTGGAATTCCTGCTGGTCCCTGCTGGCACCAAAATCAACTTCCAGATGCATTGCTCTTGGCTGTATTCCCTTGTGTTTCAGACAGGGAAACTGAGGCACAATGTGAGGAACACATACTGCCAAACTGGCACAGTAGGGCAACTGGGGGCTGGAGTCTCTGGGCCCAGGGAAGGGAGAGGAGCTGTGGCAAGGCCCCACACAGCTCCAAATGTAAGGGGCATGAAACTGGCTTTGGTGGAGCACACCTGTAATCCCTGCGCCCTGGAGATTGAGGCAGGAGGCCTGTGAGTTGGGGGCCAGCCTGGGCTCCATGGTAAGACCCTGTCTCAAAAGAGGCACAGGCACAGACTTTTATGTTGTTCCTGAAGTCAGATAGATGGATTTAGATCTGCCCTGCTTGTTCCAAACTAAGATGAGGGCTGGGCCTTCTCCCTCAGCCACCTGTTTCTAAAGCAGGGCACAGAGGGGTCCTCTTATGCCAGACTCTTGGCAGATTTCTGAGGATCAGGATCAACAGCACTGAGCCCTGGGTCATATCTGGACTGCAGAAGGTTCCTGCCAATCCACACTCTGACCACCAGGGTGACAATCCCAGAAACACTGTTTTACAAGTGGTAAGCACCTACTGTGTGCCCACCATGCTGCTAGGTGTCACATGGGGTCAGGCTCAGGGGAATTAGAGAAAAAGTCTGAGTTGCCTAGAGAGGGGGCAGGGATGTGAAATTGGGTGGAGACAGAAGAGAGAAGCCAAGAGGGCAGGAGGACCAGCATGGGCAAAGGCACTGGGGTAGGAAACGATTGGACCACTGTGGGGAGGGTAGGAAGCCTGGAGAGGCAGACTCCAGCCCAGCTCTGGGGGGTGAGAGGCCTGAAATGCAAAGGTTTTTTTTTATTATTTTTATTTTATGTGTATACTGAGTGTTATACCTGCATGTATGTAAGTGTGCCCATGTCGTGCAATGCCCGAGGAGGGCAGAAGAGGCTGTTGGATCTCCTAGAACTGGAGTTACGGACAGTTGTTAGCTGTCATGTGGGTGCTAGGATTCAAACTCAGGTCTTCTGCAAAAACACTGTTCTTAACCACTGAACCATTTCTCCAGCCTCAATGCAAAGATTTTATAGGAGTCATGGAAAGATTCTTCAACAGTAGCGTGTTGGGGGAGCTGGGCTTTGAGAGAACAGATCTTCATGTGTTTATGGACTCACAATGAGTTGACGCCTGGGGTCCCTCTCTCTCTCTCCAGGTGTTCTGAGACAATACTCAGGAAGTGAGAAGCCTAGGGAGTGTCTCTGAAGGCAGGCATTAGCCTGGGATTCTACATCTGAGATGCCCTCCAGCCTTGCTGGCTGCCTCAGTGGCCAGGGCAGGACAGCAGTCTATCTCTGCAGGAGCTGACAGGTGGCAGGGAGGGTGGGTGTGGGGGCAGGGTGGGGGAAGTTCACTTGCTCTCACTCAGGCAAGCATGGGTACTAGAGTGAGAGAGACCCAATTTCACCAGGCCTCTTGGGGGTGACAGGCCCTGTTTTTCCCTTCAGCCATGGAGCTAGCAGTGGGTACCTGGATCTGAGAGGGCTAAATGGGGGATGGAGAGTAGCTGTCAGGTTTCCCCTACAACCACAACAAGGTCTGACCTGGGAACAGTTAGCCCAGCCCCTGGGACTGAGCTCTACACCAGGGCCCACCCTAGGCGTTCATCTTATCAGTACTGAATTCTCAACACCACTGCCAAGAGGTCTGCTTCTCCGAATCCCTTTGATACACAGTAAGCCCAGTTTGTTGAGGAGCCTAGACACCCCAGGGCTGCCTGAACCCAACCCAGGGGTCTGTCCCTGCTCCTCTACCTGAGCTGAGTGTGGACTGAGGGGGCAGAGGCTGTGGAAATCACAGGGTGGGGTAATTGCCTGGGGATCCTCTGGGGCAGTTGCAGGGATCCCATTAAAGTCTCTTTAAAAACTTTCCATGCTGCACAGTCCATCTCCATCCAGGTCATAAATAAGTAAGACCCAGTGTGTTCTCTAGAAAACAGGAGAGACTCCAGGTAGATACAAAGAGGGGCTTGTAGAAAACCAGGAAAGCCAGCTGTGGTGGCACACACCTAGAATCCCAGCTCTCTGAAGGCAGAGGCAGAAGGATCACCACACGTTTGAGGCCAACCTGATTTATATAGTAAGTTCCAAGCCGGCAAAGGCTATTAGCAAGACTCTGTTTCAAAAAGGGGCTGGAGAGATGGCTCAGGGGTTTAGTGCAATGGCTACTCTTGCAGGCCCCACCCTGTTTGGTTCCCAGCACCCACATGGTGGCTAACAACCATGTATAACTCCAATTCCAGAGGATCCAACCCCCTCTTCTGGCCTCCTTGGGAACTGCATGCACATGGTGCACCTACATATATGCAGGCAAAACACTCATACACATAAAATAAAAATGTTTTAAAAATTAAAGACATGCCGGGCGTGGTGGCTCACGCCTTTAATCCCTGCACTTGGGAGGCAGAGGCAGGCGGATCTCTGTGAGTTTGAGGCCAGCCTGGTCTCCATAGTGAATCCAGGCCACCTGGGGCTACAGAGAGACCCTGTCTCAAAAAGACCAAAAAAAAAAAAAATTAAAGACATAGTTATTAAAAGCACAAGGTGGGTGGAAGCCGAGGTAGGTAGGGCTGAGGGTTATGAAGCATGAGGGAACTAAGGCAGAGAGCTGGGTCTTGCTGGTCTCATAGATGAAGCCAGGCCTGGACTGTCCCCCAGAACTCAGTGGTCAAATGACTTTGCAGCCAGGGAACAGGCTCAGGCAAACTGTGGTTTGCCCCCAGTGTGTTCTGTCTGTGGGGATGTGTCTACCTTCCTGTTCAGCTCCCCTTGGAGGTCAGAGACAAGGAGAGGGAGGAACAAAGGATGCTTCCTTTGGCTTTCTCTCCAAAGGGCTGACCCACGAGTGGCCCTTCCCCACTGGTAACCCAGCCTGGGTCTGCTCTATACTGCCCAGGCACTGGACTCCTCTCCTCACCCTTCAGGTCAAGTGGTCATCTGCACAGTCCCTCCTGACAGTTCCCTGCACCCTGCCTACACCTGTGTAAACAGACCCTCATCACACTCTCCCAAAGCGGTCCTCTGGGACCTTGTCATCTGTTTCCTGCTGGGGCCCTTAATGCACGTTTTCAGGTGCCGCCTGTGCACACGCCAGGAGACACATGGCTGCTGGCCAAGCCCTGTGCCTGGACCCCACAGTGGGCCGATGCACACACTGAACTCCGTCCTCCTGGTGGGGCTTGGAAGGCCTGGGCTACAGGAAGGGATGCAGCACGTCTACCTTGGCCCCCAGCCACCAAAGGAATGTCAGGAGGCCCCCCAGGGACCCCTAGGCGGCTGTTCGTCTCTAGTCTCCGGCACCGGCCTGCAGCCAGGGACTGTTGATAACAGCAGGACCAGACCCACTCAGGCATGGGGAGGGGAGCACTAGGCCCAGAGTCTTGGTACCTGACCCTGCTCATGCCACGCAAGATGCCACTGCTTTCTGAGCCTCGGTGTCTCCGTCTGCATAATAGGAGGATAGCCTGATGGCTGCTGGAGGACAGCTTGCTGGCTGGTGGGGGTTCAAGGAGCCGGACAAGGATGGAAAGGCTCCACCTCCGGTGTGCTCACCTGGCCTAGTGCCCAAATGCCACTTCACAAGACCTTAATGAGCCAAGACCATCATGTCCCCATTTTACAGCAGGGGAAACTGAAGCCCAGGTGTGTAAAGCCACAGGACTGGAGGAGAGACAGAGGATTTGCAAATTTGGGCTTGTTGGTGTTCCCTTGTTTCCAGAACATTCTGTCCCGGTTTCTTTCTCACATTCCTGGACGCCTTATCTGTCTCCTGCTGGTTCCCCCTCATTCCCCTATGCTTGGCCCTTTGGGCCCTTCCTTTTTCTGTTCATTTTTACTCCAAAAACAAATTTTTTCAAACCTTGGTAACATCATGTCCTAGCTCTGAGACAAATCACCCCTGGGACTTGGGCTTAGGTAAGGGGGTGGGGCAGACCTCTGCCGTGAACCTGTGCCCTTACTACTACAATGTCCTTGAATAGTTTCTCTCCTGAGCCATTTCCCTTCAGTACTGACCACGAGCTACCTGATTTTGGTACCTGCCACTGAATGGGTCTTTGGCTGTAAAATATAATGTGCTGGATTCTTCCTAGTCTGGGTGGCTGGTCTCTTCTAGCAACTAGTTAGAAGTGCAGACCCTCAGCTGGGCATGGCGGCACACCATGGAACCCTAGCAGGAGGATCACCATGAGTTCAAGGCAAGCCTAGTCTACAGAGTGAGATATTGTCTCAAAAAGCCAAACCTAAGCCAGGCGAGATGGCACACACCTTTAATCCCGGCACTCAAGGGCAGAGGCAGGCAGATCTCTATGAGATCAAGACCAGCCTGGTCTACGTAGTGAGATCAGCTGGGCCTTCAGGGAGACCAACTCTAGTTTGAGTCCAAAGCCTTCAAGTTGATGTACCACTTCCATACACACACCGGACTCATACATGTAGTGAGATCAGCTGGGCCTTCAGGGAGACCAAAGCCTTCAAGTTGATGTACCACTTCCATACACACACCGGACTCATACACATAGACACAAACATGCAATAAATAAATAAGCAGTAAATAAATTAAAAGCAAAGAAATAAATAAATGTAAAATCTTTTTTTTTTTTTTTTTTTTGGTTTTTTTTAGAAAAAGTTTCTTTTTAGCCCCCGCTGTCCTGGGGATCCTATGTAGACGAGGCTGGCCTTGAACTCACAGAGTGTCCACCTGCCTCTGCCTCCCGAGTGCTGGGATTAAAGGCGTGAACCACCATGCCCGGCAAATGTAAAATCTTTTTAAAGCCAAGCTAGAATTGGGGATGTAGCTCAGTTGGTAGAGTGCTTGCCAGGCATGCATGAATCCCTGGGTTCTATCCCCAGGATGATATGAACCGAGTGTGGTAGTGAACTCCTGTAATCCCAACACTCAGGACGTAGAGGCAGGAGGTTTGGAAGCTCAAGGTCATCCTCAACTACACAATATGAGGCAAGCCTGGGCTACATGAGGCCTTATTTCAAAACACAAAAACAAACAACCCAAAACAAACTGGCAGACCTGGCCCTTTCTCAACATCCTCAGGGACTGGTATACATACTGTCCCAGCAAAGTTCTGCTTTTGGGTAGTGGTATGCAGAAAATAGCTTTGCGGACCCTGTGGATACCATCCCTAGGTGCCTCTCCCAGGACTCATTCCAGTTCAGGGCTCTTGGGTGTCTCTGTTTCCCACATCCCAGCAGGGTTCTAGTCTATCTCTGTAAACTGCTCTCCTTCAGTCCCTCAGGCTCCCTCTTTTCATTGTACAACCCTAGACTCTCGCAGCTCTCAGCCAGACTAACAGGCCATCCCTCGTGTTCCCAGGCTGGAAGAACCAGGCTGTCTCACCACCCCACCCTCTGGGAACTTTAGGGCTACCTCTTCACTGAGCTTTGCTTCCTTCTTTTCTCTCAACCCTTTCTCCACCCTGCTGGGGAAGCCTATTAAAGCTGAATCTGATAGTATTTTTCTCTGCCCAAGGCCTTCCACCAGCCATTATCTTATTCAGAATTTAAAAGCCAAGATCCCTCAAGTCACCGACAAGCCCCCCCGCCCCTCTTCAGCCTCACCTTCTCCCCTTCCCTGCTCACGCCATGCTCACCACGGAACCTTTGCAAGTGTTGTCTCTAGGTTCTATAAGGCTTGCTCCCTCTTCTTTTAAGTCTCCACTAAAACATCACATGGTCAGTGAGGCCGTCTCTAACCATTTTTTTAAAAATGCTCTTTCCCCCATTAACCATGGGCCTTTAGGCTACCAGCTGATATACAGACATTTTGTCCTCTCCCTTTCAAGAACAGAAGCTTCCTGAAGACAAGGACTGGCCTTTTTCAGTGCTAAATCTGCATTCCCTAGAGTGGTGCCCATGGCAGATGTTCTAGACACACCAGAGGAACAAATGCTGGTCTGTGTCACCCCCTTGTGCAGTACCAGGTTTCCTAAGTGATAGCTTGAATCTCCAGTATGTGGGTGTGGAGGCATCTGAGACCAGGGACAGAGTCTCTGAGAAGGGGAATGACTCCCCCAGGAACATAGCTGGCCCTTGGGGGTCAGGGTCCTACTCGATTTTGCTCTGCACCAGAGGAACAAAGTCCCTCAAAGTCATTTTCTGTTCCCCAAGGGAGGGGTCACAACCTACTGCCACCAAATGCTGTGTCCCAATAGGAATTGCTGGGCCTGTAATCCCAGCACTCAGGAGGATTTCGGTTCCAGGTCAGCCTGGGCTATATAATAAGACCCTGTCTCAGAAAACAAAACAAAAATAGATTCTTACTGAGTCCTTATATTAACTTTCTTAATTCTCAGAACATGTCTCTCTTTTTTTGTTGGGGTTTTTGTTTTTTGCTTTGTTTTGGTTTGGTTTTTGCTTTTTTGTTTTTGAGACAGGGTTTTACCATGTAGCACTGGCTGGCCTGGAACTCACTATGTAGATCAGGCTGGCCTTGAACTCATAGAGAGTCACCTGCCTCTCCCAAGTGCTGGGATTAAAGGCATGCTGGGTCAATTCTCAGAACACTTGTACTTTTTTATATACCTGAAAATCCATGCCCAGGAGTAGGGGGGTGTCCCCAGGGTCAGGACTCAAGAACCTCTGAGTTATAAGTGCTCTGAGTTCATAGAAGAGAAAACTGAGGCCCAAGAGAAAGCCAGGACTCTGTGAGCCACAGTAGGCAACACCAGCAGAAGACCCTGCACCAGAAGCCCAGGGAGGGGACAGATACTAGAAAGGCAGGCAAAGGTCTTGACGCTGTGTGACCTCGGGTAAGCCAGACAACCTCTCTGGGCCTGCTTCCCCAGCAAGGAAATCCTGTGTTCATAGTCTGCGCATGTTCAGCAGGGCTCCTGGCCCCCAGCCCTCTGAACACCCCCATCGTGGAGCCGCCAGGCCTTCCTGTTTACTTGAGGCCCCTCTTGCGGCTGGGAGGCGACAGCCTTGGCCTCCTCTGCTCCCCGCTTCCTTCCTCTCCCACTTCAGCGTCTCCGGCCCAGGCCCTCGAGGGGGGCGGCCCTGAGGCCAAGACATGGGGGTGCAGTCAGGGGGGAGGGGGCATCTGAGGCCACCACCCCACCAAGGCTTGCCTAAGAGCATGCCTTCTCTAAGACTTTAAGGCTATAGAGACATTAGTCCCACAGGCTGCTGAGAATGTTCAAGAACCTTGAAATAAGCTCCTGCCTGGAATGTCCCTAGAGACCAGAAGAAAATGATAGCATTGGTGACCTTCTGATGCCCACCACACCCACCTTAGTCTAACAGTGACCACAGAGAGGCCCTCCTCCCCACCGGTAGGCTCCTGACTTCTTCCTGCCTCTGCTTCTCCCACTGAAAAGTCAGGTCTCCCTAAGCTGACTACATGAGGGCCAGCCGACTGAAGGCCACCAACCAATTTGACATGCTTTTTTTCTGTTTTGTTTTGAGACAAAGTCTCTTGTAGCCCAGGCTGGCCTCAAACTTGCTATGTAGCCGAGGATGACCTTGAACTCATGAGTCTCCTGCTTCCTATCCCATGTGCTACGGATGACAGCCTGTGCTACAACACCCAGTTTATGCAGGGCTGGGGATCAGAACCAGAGCCTTGTACATGCAAGGCAAATACTCTATCCACAGAGCTAGTCTTGATTTGTTTTGTTAAAGATGTGTGTGCACGCACATATATGTGCATCTGTGCATGCATGTATGAGTGCCCTCAGAGACCAGAAGTGGGCGCTGGATCCCTTGGAGTTACAGGTGGTTGTGAGTCCCCTTTCCCCCATTATGAGTGTTGGGAACCAAACTCTCCTCTGAAAGAGCAGGAAGCTCTGTTAACTGCTAAGCCATCTCTCCAGCTCCTAGTTTCTTTTCTTCCTTCCTTCCTTTCTTTTTATTTTGTGTATGAGAGTTTTGCCTGCAGGTATGTAATGCACCACATATGTTCAATGCCCACGGAGGCCAGAAGAGGGCTTTGGATCCTCTGGAACTGTAGTTACAGATGGTTGTTAGCCACCATATGGATGCCAGTTAACAAACTGGGTCCTCTGCAAGAGCAGCCAGTGCTCTAACCACTGACCCATCTCTTCAGTCACTTTCTTTTGAGGCAGGGTCTCATGTAGCCCAGGCTGTCTTCCAACTCACTACATCACTGAGGATGATCTTGAACTCCTGATCCTCCTGCCTTCACCTGCTGAGTGCTAGGACTAGAGGCACACATCCCCATGCTGGTAAGTCTTGGGACTGGGTCCCCTCAGATACTAATGGACAATCATGGGTTTAAAATGGATAAAGTCACTCAGTGGTGAAGAGTTTTTCTTAATTTGACCAGTGTAGTGAATGTTATAGAATTAGGAGAAAATCTCACTTATGGGGGATGATTCTCTGAATCATTCCTCAGGACAACCAGCTAGGTTTTCATAAACTAGGACTCACTTGAACTAATGAAACAGTAATTTAAAAACTAATGAGGGTTTTTCAGGCATTTTTCTCCAGCTCTTTCTCCTCCCCCATGCATCCCTCCGCTCACTTGCATGCTGCATGACCTTACGCAACCCTGATCAGAGGGGCCGGGAGTGGGGTATGTGGGTGAGTATATTTTAGGGAGGAAGAGAGTTTGAGATAAGCTCTCAATTACAGATGCAGCATGGAAGAGAGGGGTCCAGTCAGAGTGGAGTGGGGCTCCTGAGCTGCCTGTTTCCCCGGATGCCAACATGAGGGGCAGAGGAACAGGTATAGACGTCATCCGGAAACCTTGGCCCTGAAGAAGGCGCGCACCGGCTAATGAATGCCTGCCCCTTCCTCTCTTATCCTCATGTTAATTTGTTTCAAGTCTCCTTTAAAACGCTCACCTTTTATAACTGAAATACGTTCGTTTATTTTTTTATTTTTTATTTTTTTTGGTTTTTTTTTTTTGGTCTTTTTGAGACAGGGTCTCCCTGTAGCCCCAGCTGTCCTAGAACTCACTATGTAGACCAGGCTGGCCTTGAACTCCCAGAGATCCGCCTGCCTCTGCCTCCTGAGTGCTGGGATTAAAGGTGTGCGCCACCACACCCGGCTATGTTCGTTTATTTTAAGGGAGAGCTGAAATAGTAATGAAAACAGAAAGGCAAGCTCTCTGGCTGTAAACAGAGGAATGAGCACTGGCAACCCCAGGGGCAGGTTACACCTGGGGAAGTTGTGGCCGCTGGCTATGAGCTCTCTGGGCCAGAAGGGAGTAACTACGGATGGATGGGACAGGGGCCAAGGAGAGGTGAGCATCAATCAAGGCTTCTAACATAGTGAGGTCAAAAATGAAGAAGAGCGAGGGAGCCGGCTCTCCCAGGGACACCCAGGTGTCCCCTGCACACTCTGGCCAAGCTGCTCTGGTCCCTGATCCCAACTCTGTGCTGGCTAACAATTCCCTCCACATTCAGTGTGTCCTTGTCCTAATGCTGAAGCTGGAGGAGGAGGGTGGGACACAACACATGACCAAACCTGTTTTCGATCTGGAAGCAGTTCAAAGGGCAGGCTGAGGCCTTTGGGCCTTTTGGGTCCCCCTCCTCAGGGAGGCCACCCCTGACCTCAGTTTCCTGCCTTATGCCCTGTACAGCGCTCCAGTCACCAGCATAGCCAGATGGAGTGTGCTCATGGCCCCTTGCCTTGTCTAGGTCCCCAAGGATCAGGTATAGAAAACCGTGGCTTAGTTGGTAGAGTGCTAGCCTAGCTTGCATGAAGCCATGAACTTCATCCCTAGCACCACATAAACCAGGAGTAGTATTACAGACCTGTCATTCCAGCACTCGGGAGAGGAGGTGGAGGCCGGAGGATTAAGGTGGTCTTCAAGTACATAGAAAGGTTGAGGCCAGCTTGGGACACGTGAGACTATGTCTAAATGAAAGGAGAGAGAGAGAGAGAGAGAGAGAGAGAGAGAGAGAGAGAGAAAGAGAGAGAGAGAGAGAGAGAGAGAGAGAGAGAAACTTGCTCAGAGAGATGAGGGCTTGAGGCCAAAGCCACACCACAAAGTTGTAAGGAACCCTAGAACGGAACCTTGGAACCAGATGCCACCTGATCTCCAGACCCTAGGAGCAGCCTCTCTACCACCCCTGGACTGTCCAGACTTGACATGGTTCTGGGATGAGAAAGGGCCTGGGATTCCACCATAGCCAGAGGGAGACACAGCGGAGCTGGGCTGAGGCACAGGCAGGAACCGGAGGGCACTGGCTGGAGCCTCTGGCCAGGGCTACATGAATTACCTCACTTGCAAGCAAAGAAAAGGGAGTAAGAGCAAACGTCCTTGGCAATTCCTTTAGTGCTTGGATGTCCATGGAACAGGATAAAGTGTCTTCCTGTGTCTGTGCGCAGCCTGGCAGGGTGGAGGTGCTGGGCTCGCGCCAGGCTGCTTGGGGTCGGGGCAGGGGTGGGGCTGGCTGGTAGCTGGCCAAGGGCTTTAACTACTTCAGGGTGTCCAGGTGAGCGCAGACCTGGGAGAAGACAGTGTCCACCGAGCCTTCAGCATTGACCTGTGGGGAGACGGGATGTGAGGGCCAGGATGCCATGGCAGGGTCTAGTCCCTCCCCCAGCAGCAGCTCACTGAACAGGTCAGAGAGGACAGAGGCCGAGGGAGAGGGCTGGCCTAAGGCCACATGGTAAGCAGAGGCTGGGCCAGGCAGGAGCTCCCCACCTTGCGCACGATGCCACGATTCTCATAGAAGGCAATGACAGGTTCTGTGGCCTTGTAATAGGTCTCCAGCCTCTTCTTGATGGTTTCTTCATTGTCGTCCACACGGCCGCTGGTCTCCCCACGCTTCAGAAGCCGCTGGGTCATGGTCTCAGGGCCTGCGTCCACATACAGCAGCAGTGTGGGCTTTCCAATCTGTGGGGGAAGGAGGAGGTGAACATCATACCCCTGGGACCCATTTCTACCTCATCTGCCCACCTCTGAAACCCCACATGAGCCCCACCCAGAACATCAGAGGGACCTTCCTGAAAACAACCTCCCCTGCCTCTCACCCGCTCAAACCTCCTCCATGGCTACCCAGGGCCCTCAAGAGAAAACCCGAAGTCCTTACAGATCTAAGTGCTCTGCCCCCTCCCTCTGCTCACCTTGCTTTGGCCACACCGTTCTGCACTCCAGGCAGAAGTTTATCTGCACTCCAGGCCAGCCCTACTTAGTTCTCTTTGTTCAGAGCCCTTTCCCACCACTGAGACTAACCCTAACCCTCCCCCAGGCAGTCTCATAGACGCCACTGTTCCCTGCTCCATCCTCTCCCATTCCTCTCATGAGCCTCCAGGGATTTATTTAGTGACCCCCCTCCCCAGTTAGGACAAGAGTCCTGAGGGCTGGGTAGTACTTGACAAAGGAACCAGGACAGTGGGACAGGGTGAGGAAGTCTGAGCAAGGTCACAGTCACCACGGGAATAAGCCAGTCCTTACAAAGGTGACTTGGAGAGGTGAGGAGGAGGGAAGCTCTGGCCCTCAGTTCAGCCATCAGTGTGCCTTCACAGAGTCCACTGCCCTGCCTGGGCCTCACACTGAAGTCAGCAATGGCTGCCCTTCCTTCCCTTTCTGGCCCATACATCCCTGGGAGCAGCGAGTCTGCCTCTCAATCACTACCAGGCCTGGCATAGCCTAGGCTGGGCCTACAGTGAGGGAGGGGGGACCTTAGGTCTCCCCAGAGCTAAGCGAAACACAGCCACCCTTCCCCGTACAGCCTCAGGCTTGGGCCAGGACTTCCGAATAGCCTCAGGGCCCTCTATCCCTTAGACTGCAGCTGGGTCGGTCCTCACCCAGCCACCACAGCAGGCCAATAGGTGTTGCCACTCACACCATCTCTCCTGCCTCTGTCCAGCCGTGTAAACTTGGCTAGGCCACTGGGCCTCACTGAACCTAGTCCCTGCTTTCTGGGTGGTGACTGAGGAGGGGTGATCTGCCATCTCCTGACCCTGGATTGTCTGCTGGGTTCTTTTTTTTTTTTTTAATATTCTTATTTATTGTCTTTATTTTAGCTGTATGAGTATATTGCATGCATATATAAGTGTACCCATGGCGTGCATGCATATATATAAGTGCACCCAATGTCATACAAAGGTCAGAAATGGGTGTGGATCCCCTGGAACTATACAGATGGTTGTTAGCCACCTTGTGGGTGCTGGGAATCAAACCTGGGTCCTCTGCAAGAGCAGCCGCTGCTCTTAACCACTGAGCCATCTCTTCAGCCCCATGGGTTCTTTTCTAACAGAAGACTGTGAGTGGTAAAGGCCAGCCTAAGCGTCAAGGTCACCCCATCTGTCCGTTAACCATCAGCCTCTAAGCTTTTCTGAGTTCCCAGGGGACAGCAGGCTCTGTGTCCACAGGCTGGTAGAAGTGGTGGGGCTATGGGAACAGCTAAGCCTCTGGGCAGCGTGTCCCTGGCTAGGACTTCAGTTTCCCAGTCAAGACATGGGCACCTAGCTTGGGGAGTGGGTGCAGGACACTGCCTGTCCCCAAGGGAGTTCTGGGCACTTTTGCCAGCAGAAGCAGGCCCTACCTCCAGGCCCAACCCTCCTTCTTTAGTGAAGCCCTTGCGCCCCCTAGTGTCAAGATCTGAGAATTTCAAGTGCTTGAACTCCCAGAGGCAGCCAGAGGCAGCCAGAATCCTGAGCCTGTAGTAACCCAGGCAGCATGCACAACAGCCCCAGGGAGGATATGGACTTTCATTAACCCTATTTGCTAGATGTGGCTCTGAAGGTTTCAGCTGACCTCACATAGCCAGGGATTAGAGACAAGGGGTCCCTTGGGGCTGCCTGGCATCTGGCCACAGGCTCCATGCCTGAAGGAAGCCGGACCAACTCCCATTTCACAGATGGGGAAGCTGAGACCTGCCCCAGCCCACCAGGATACCCAGTTAGCCATCTCCCCACCCTTACTGCCTCGTCTCCTCAGTACCCTCAGTACCCACAGCCCCATGTTTGGCCTGTATGGCCTTGTGTGAGTGTAAATGTGTGCACTCATGTATATACATGGGTTCACATGCAGTACCTCTGTAGTGTGTGCTGCATCCAAGTGCACACATGTGCATGTGTGTGCAGTATGCCTGGCTTTATGCATGCCTGTGCATCCTGTATTGCCTACGGCTGATGTAGGTGTGGCTCATGTGCAGGCATGTCTGCCTATGTACATGTGGACTTATGAGAGATGCCCATTCTATGGACCATGTCCCTGGTGGGCATCCATTCTAGGAAGTTCAGCACCATCACTGGTCAAGATCAGCTTTCCCCAGCCAAACTCCTCATGGCTGGGAAGAGGATACTGGCTCCTCTCCGCGCAACATTCAAGGCTCTAGCCAAGGCTGAACCTTCCTCTCTCATGTCACTATGACCGCCCCCCATTCTGCCCCCCCCACATCAGCTTAACCTTTTCAGGGCAGCCCAGGCTGCTCCCTAACCCATGGACTGTGTGTTTACAGGGTATCAAGCCTCACAAGAATGGAGACTTGAGGGGCAGGGGCCGGGGGAGAATGGAGACTTGAATTTTCACACCTTCCCTCTAGACAGTTGCATAAAAGGGTCTCCCCTCCATTTCCAAATAAGGAAACTGAGCTTCAGAGAGAAGACTGGCCCAGAGTCTCAAGAGGTTAAGCTGGAGGCTGAACTCAGGTTTGTGAACTCCCAAGCCTGGTGCATCCCATTTTTCTGTACCTTTCTTTCTGACTCCCAAGAAGACCTCTGGAAAGGCCTCCTCACGCTCACCCCAGAGCCTCCCTCCATGCCTCCCTCTTTCTGAACTTCCGCCCAGCCCCAGGCTTACCCGGCGCTCAAACTCTTCCCCCTGCAGCACCTCCCGTGGGTAGCCGTCAATCAGGAAGCCATTAGAGGACTCCACTTTGGCTAGCATCGCGTCCCGGAGCATGTCTAATACGGTCTCCTGCCGGCACAGCACAGGAAGAGAGCCTGAACCTCCCCTCCTCACCCATCTGGGCCATCACATGCTGACACACCCAAACTGCCCTCGTCCCTAAGCATGTGAGTTCCAGCAAACCCCTCTCGCCAGGGGTCTCCTCTAGATGGCCTGGTGGGACAATGGTTTGGCCTTCACTGAGCCCCTTACCAGCTTGGGAAAGTTCTGAACCTGAGAGCATAGCTTTCACGGACCTTCCCCACCCTGACCCTCCACAAACTCAGGGTCTGGGGAGAGAAGGGACCATGACACTGTTGATTTATATTTCCAAGCATGACATAAGACATATGGATAAAGGAGGGGACCACTGGGTCAGCAAGATAGCTCAGCAGGTAAAGGAGCTTGTTGTCAAGCCCGATAACCTAAGTTCCATTCTGAACATCCACATGGTGGACTCCACATGGGCACTATGGTTTGTCCATCCTCCTCCAATAAATAAATAAATAAATAAATAAATAAATAGAATAATCCTGGGGCTCGAGAGACAGCTCAGTGGTTCAGAGCACTGACTCTCTTCCAGAGGACCCAGGTTCAACTCCCAGCACCCACATGGTGGTTAACAACCATCTGTAACTCCAGTTCCAGGGGTTTCAATCAATGCCCTCTTCTGACCTCCACTGACATTGCACTACAGGGATACACTTACATACATGCAGGTAATAAACTTATACACATAAAATAAAAATAAATAAGCTGGGCGTGGTGGTGCACGCCTTTAATCCCAGCACTCGGGAGGCAGAAGCAGGCGGATCTCTATGAGTTCAAGGCCAGCCTGGTCTACATAGTGAGTTCCAGGACAGCTGGAGCTACAGGGAGACCCTGTCTCAAAAAGACCAAAAAAAAAATAAATAAATAAAAAATAAATAAATAAATAAAAGATTAAAAAAATAAATAAATGTGGGGGCTGGAGAGATAGCTCAGCAGTTAAGAACACTGGTTGTTCTTGCAGAAGACCCAGGTTCGAATCCCAGCACCCACATGGCAGCTAACAACTGTCCATAACTCCAGTCCCAGGGGATCTGACAGCCTCTTCTGACCTCCTTGGGCATTGCACAACACGGGTACACTTACAATGCAGGCAATACAAGAATACTCATAAAATAATAATAAATAAATAATAAATAAATGTAAATAAAATGAAAGAAGAGGACCACTCCAGTATAAAGTTAGGGGGTCTGAGCTCGTGTTTGGGAAGTCAGGAGGGTCTGAGAGCGGAGAGGAAAGCTCATTCCACCATCCAGAAGGAGTGTGGTTGGGGATAGAAAAGCCAAGGAGCTGGGGGCTTTTGAGAGTGGGAGGAAGGGCCACATCCCACAGGGTCTTGAGAATTTCTGGTAGCCACTTTCTGCCAGGGGCAATGGGGAGCCATGGCAAGCTTCTGAACAAGAGAGAGCCACAGTCACTCTTACTAGTGCATCACAGGTTTTTCTGGCTTCCTCTCCCCACCCTCCACCCCTATTCAGAGCCTTATCATCCCCCACCCACTAGGGTTCACTCACCAGTGGCACCAGCTGACCCTTCTCCATGATTGCTGACAGTTTCTTGCCCCTGTCTGAGCCAGAGCTGACCTCAGCCCGCAGGAGGTCCCCGGTGGAGAGGTGGGTGAAACCATACTTCTGCACAATCTTCTCACACTGGGTGCCCTTCCCAGAGCCAGGCCCACCTGCAAGCACCCATCCATTCAGAAACCCCAAGGAGGAAAGACCCTGGAGGGACAACGTTCAGAATCCAAGGTGCAGCCCCAGGCCCAGGCTCCTATAGCACCTGCGCAGACCCTCCCTGCTTGCACACCTCATCTCTACCTGCAACTTACCCACCACAAAGATGATCTTGGTTTTCTTCAGCTTCTCTGTGGAAAGAAAGAGGGAAGCAGGACTCAGTCACTAGCTAAACAGCTAGAGTCACCTCTGTGACCCAGGCTTGAGCAGAGAGAGTGAGGATGAGCACATGGTGTTCCAGACTGAGGGACCCGCCCAGGCAAAGGCCTGGAGGCTGGGAACTCAGGCAAAGCTAAGGAATAGGGATGCTGACTCCGTGGGCGCCTCCCTGAGGGTGCTGGACTGCAGGGGGTTAGTCTCCCTCTTCACTGGGTTAGCTAAACAAGCAGCACCCCATGATTTTGTTCCGTAGTGTCCCCTACCCTTTCCTCCCTGGTCTGATCCTCCCATTGCCCCAGCAGTACAAAAGTGGAGCTGGCAACCACAACATATGTTGCCATGGAGATGGTTGCCAAGCAAGAGGGTTGTGGTGGGCAAGTAGAACTCTTGCCCAGACAGGGAGGTGAGCTAAATTTCCCAAACTGCCTTCTTAGAACCTACAGCCCAGGAGGCTGGGGTATAATGGATGACAGAGCATAGTCTAGTGTAAATGAGGCCCTGGGTTCCATAGCTGAAAAAAAAAAAGGACCTCACAACCCAGTGTACAGAGGGAAACTGAGGCCTAGAATGGGAAGGGCTTACTCAAGGGACAAATGAACCCAAAGCAGAACCTGAGGCTTTCTCTTGGATTTCCCCCTTTAGGGAATTGGAGCTGGGCCACAGCCTTGCTTGCTGTGTGACTTCAGGAAAGAACACCTTCTCTGTTCTGTTCCTGACACAGAAGGAGGTGGGCTTGACTACTCCTGAGAGACTGAAGCATAGAACTGTCAGAGAAGGGCACAGCTTGAGGTAGCTGAGGGAGTGGGATAGTGCTCACAGGCTTCAGGTAGTGGAGGCAGTCAGGTGCCTTTAAGAGCCATCCAGGCTAGGCCCCAGTGCCAGGCACTAGACGAATGGTCTTGCCAGAGCCAGCACCAGCCCACTCTGGGCTCCCTGCCCACCTTGAGTCTCTCTCGAGTCTCTTCTATACGAATCAGCGTATAGGAGCCAGGAAGACTCAAGACAGCAGGGCCAAGGATTTGCCTGTCCTCCCTAGGCTGTAGTTGGGAGAGTTGGAGCTGCTGCACAGGGCAGCCCCCTCCCCAACACCCATCTTCTCCAGAAAAAGATTTGGCTATAAATACCAGCATAGGTGAGCTCTGGGGCCCCAGAAGCCCCAGGAAGGCCTTGTTTCTAAAATTAGTACTGATGCCAAGCACCCCATGACAGGCCAGAGGAGGGAGCTGGGGCCCCCTCCAACCTTCCCAGCCTTCTCTTCGAGAGCACACCCCCTTTACACATGGGTACACTGAGGCCAGGAGGGGAACCTCGTACCTTCCATCCTGAGGTGCTGGGAGCTGGGTCAGTGCTCTGTAAGACAAGACACAGGCAGGACTGAGGGGTTCCCCTCCCACTTCTGGCTCAGGCTCCACAAGCCCCACCCACGGCAGCAGTGGGTAAATGCCAGGCTCCACATCAGGACACAAACTGGAAGCCAGAGAGGATAGAAGGGCCACCCAGGAGGCAGGGTGACCTTGGGAAAGTCACTTTCCTTCTTTTCTTCTACCACCTCACCTGAGCCAGGGCCCAGGCACCCCTCCCATGTGCCTTGGTCTGCTGGAGGCACCTGGTTGGCGGCCACAGAGGGTGTAGCAGCAGCACCCGCCCACTGAGAGCCTCCCTTTACTCCCAGGGCATGAGACCAGAGTCTGCCTGGTGCCTTGACAACGATCCCCAGGCTCTGGGAAGGTTGTCAAGCACCTTCTATCTGCTTGCCTGGGGACAGGACATGTGGGCATGAGGGTACCCTAAGGCACACAGATCCAGAGACCCCCTGGGGCATAGTCCTCTACAGTTTTTTGGTTGTTTTGTTTTAATTCTGTTTGTTTGAGACAGGGTGGTCTCTCTCTGTAGCCCAGGCTGATCTAGAGCTCACTATGTAGTCCAGGATGGCCTCAAACTAACAGCAACCTCTTGCCTCAGCCTCCTGAGTGCTGGGATATCAGGAGTGACATTACCACACCAGGCTCTTTCCAGTTTTCACAGTAAGGTGGGTTCTCCCCACCCCCAACTCCTGCCCAAGGCAGGCCCAGGTCTATTTCACACATCCCCAGCCACATCCCCCTTGGAGACCTTTCTTCACTATCCCCAACTCGTCCTTCCTTCCGTCCTGTGAACCTTCTCTACTTGCACAACCCTTTTACCCCTCCAAGTCTCTTCAGAACTGCTTCCTCACTCCCCTCCCACCCATCACAAGACCCCTAGTCCCCACTGACACTGCTCGTGCTTTGGCCTTCCACCCTGGGTTTGCATCCCTTCTGCACTCCCTGACTTCTGTCCTGGTCCCCACTCTGCCCTCTCATCCTGGCTTCAGACCCCAGGGACTTCCCCTTCCCCACCTGTGTAACCAGCTCTATGTCACCATGCATGCTTCCCCGTCCCACCTCTGCCCTGCCCATCCACTTACCATCCTCCTCCCTTTCAACCTCTCTCCTGTCTCCCCACCATGATTCTGGATCATAGCCAGCCTCCGGACTCTACAGGCCCACCAAGCAGTGGGCGGATGGATTCTCCTTGGCATCAGCTATGTCACTCTCCTACTCACAGCCTCTTATATGGCCCTCTCAGCCCCCCAAACCAAGCCTGAACCCCTCAACCTAGCAATCTGTCCCCTGCTTTCTTGTCTACTGAGATGTCCCCCCTCTAGGCCTTTGTAGTGCTATACTCAGTGCTGCTGTTTAGGCCTCCTTCAGGAAGCCTTCCCAGACTCTACCCCACAATCACACGCTGACAGCTGTGCTACCTTCTTCAAACTTCAGGTTGCAAGACATTCAGCACAAGGTGTCAGGCCACTCTGTTTCACCACAGGTCTGGGGCTGCCCATCTCATTGGGCCTGTCCAGGGGTGAGCATAGCACTAACAACCAATCTGAGGATGGAATTGCAGAGGAAGGCAGACTAGCTGAAGGGTCCGGCTGGGGTCAAGCTCAGGCCTGGCGCCCAGAACCAGAGAAAGATCTGGAGCCGCTTTGTGGACAGGTCTGTCTGATGTCTGAATTACAGCCTCGGGGCCTGCTGAGTATGTAGAAGTTAGAGTGAAGCTACCCAGTCACTCAGCAGCTGCCCGGGGAGGAGTGTCCCAGGCCAGAGACAGCCACTGGGAAGTCCTTGGAAGTCACCCACCCTACCTGCCCTGCCCCCTCCTGGTAACCTAAGCCCCTCTGTCCCACAGACACCTGCCACTTCCTTGGTCTAAAATAACTTGGGTCGTGAGGAGGCCTTCAGGAGGCCAGGGGTCCTGGGCAGAGTAGGGTTACAGGCTAAGCACCCAGACCTTCCTTATAAGTCCTCCTGGGTCAAGGCTCCAGCAACTCCTAGTGTGACTGAGTGGTCCTTTAGGTACCCTGGGGAGCTAAGGCCTGGAAGGACTGCTTCTTAAGGCCTGCTTCTCCTAATGTTGCCCAACAGCAGCCCTCACAGAGGCTGGCAATCAGCTCGGGTTCAAATCTCAGCTCCCATCACTCAGCTGTGTGACCTTGGGCAGAGAAGGGACCTCTCTGTCTTGCTGCTGCTAAAGTGTCCTGGGTGAGCAGCTGACCAGGGCTGTGAGCAAGGCCCCAAGTGCTGACCCCAAGGCTCCTACATGAGCCTCCTGCAGGGAGGGGCTGTGTCAGGGGTCCAACATCTAAGTCTTCCCAAAACTTGAAGTGACATTCTGGCCTTGGGAGCATGTGGACTGACCCTGCCCAGGTCCTCTGGGCTATGGTGGCCCCTCTCAGCTGGAATGTGCCAAGGACATGGGACCTGGAGCCCCAGGAGTGCCAGCGTGGGACAAAGAGGTCTAGGAGACTGGGAGAGGGACACACACACACACACACACACACACACACAGCACATGCACCCAGATCTAAAGGAACACAGATATACAAATACACACAGCTCATAGCCATGGCTACATACATACAGACATACAAACCCAAGGGTAGCCTGGCACTGGCTCCCCTGCCCTCTGCCAGGTGACGCCTCCCCACTCCCCGGGCGGAAGCGTTCCCAGGAAGCGCCCCCAGGCATCCACATCCGCAGACGGTGAGGCAGTCCCACACTGACCTGGGGGAGGGAGCGGTGGGCGTTGGGGCCAGTGCGTGCCCTGCCCGTCCTCGCAGTCGCCTGTTTATAAGGCTGCCAGCGCGTGGCATGCCGGGAAGCCAGCACTCTAGCGCGATGGCAGGGAGGGAGAAGGGAGGAGGTGAGAGGAGGGAGCAGGGACCGGACGGGGCCCCTGATGGAAAACCCGCGCAAGAGTCGGCATCCCCTCCAGGCACCCCTAGGGGGCTGTGCCTGCACGGGATTTTCCATTCCTCTGTCACCCCCCACGGTGCCCACATCACCCCGGGGAGCTAGGGTGGGGGTGGGGGTCTCAAGGTCAGACTTCTGTGATACTGGTGCTGGAGAAACTGGTGCTCAGGGAGATGAGATCCCACAATATGTTGGTAGCAGAGAGGCCAGATTACAGAAGACAGGAGGGGACCAGGGCTCGAGCTTTGGGGTTCCAGGGCCAGTCTCCATGTATCTCCTTAGACCCCCGGACACACACCCTGAGACTCCCCTATTGGTAAAGACCCTTTGTGCTCCTCTGGGACTGAAATTCCTGGGATCCCAAAGATCTGGTGGTTGGGTAGATGATGGTAAGCCACCCCTGACCCCACTGCTAGGCAGTGCCCATGGTCAAGCACAGAAATAGAAGAATTTCAGAAACTCTGTACCTAGATGGGGGGGGGGGTTGCCCACCATGATAACTTCAGCTAATGAGCACTGGACAGACAGTGGACTTCTGCTGGTGCCTGGGAACCCCTAAGCACAGAGGCGCAGAGGAGGACCATGAGGCTGCCTGAGGCTCCGGATTGAAAGCCATGTGCTGGGAGTCCAAAAACAGCAGGCAGGCATGGAAGCCCAGGGCTAGCCAGGTTCAGAACTCAAACCACACACGACCTGGAAGGCAGTGGCTCCAAATGGTAAGGTAGGGCTGAAACTGAATTTGTTTTGCAAATGCTAGGGAGCCAGGGAAGGTGTTTGGGAGATGCACTTTGGCACACCTCAGGGGGTGGGGCCTTAGCTACAACAGCAACCTGAACACCAGGAAATCTGGATCTAGTCCCAATTTATTTTTCCAGTCTTAGGGAGGGTGGATGCAGTGAATGGTTTGGAAATGGTTTGAAAGACCCTCTCAAAAGCCCTGGTGTGTGTGTGTGTGTGTGTGTGTGTGTGTGTGTGTGTGCACTCGAGAGTACTGACACATTATTTGGAGAAAGAAAATTGATGATATCATCAAAATTTCCACCATGCCCCACTTTTAGAAATCCATTTCAAGCAAACCCTTGTGGGAACAAAATTCATACAGGAAAAGTTCCTAAAGCCAGCTGAGACCCGCTAGGGTCAGGGATAGGTGGGAGATGGTGACCCTGTCAACAACATCTATGCAAGCAGTCAAGCCTGATGGTCCTTGGTGGTGTAGCAGGCCCCAGATACTCACACTTTAGTAAAGGATGGACAAGCAGAATACCTGCCCAGGTCTTATCTCACCTGCATAAAAATTATTCTAAGCAGTGCAGGTAGGGGTGGGGATATGGCTCAGGTGACGGAGTAGGCAGGAAGCCCTGGGTGTAAGTCCCAGTACCACATACACTGAGCAAGGAGGTACAAGCCTCTGATCCCAGCACTTGAGAGATGGAGACAAGGGGATCAGAAGTTCAAGATCATCCTTGGCTACACAGTAAATCTGAGGTCAGATGAGCCCATCTCAAAAAAATAAAAGAGAGGGGCTGGAGAGATGCTCAGCGGTTAAGAGTACCAGCTGTTCTTGCAGGACCTGGGTTTGCTTCCCAGCAACCCACATGGTGGCTAAGTGTCCATAACTCCAGATCCAGAGGATCCAACACCCTCTTCTGACCTCCAAGGGCCTTGCATGACACAGGTGCACTTACATATATGCAAGTAAAACACTCTTACACACAAAGATTTTAAATTAATTAAAAATAAATAAGTAAATAATAAAAATAAAAAATAGGACCAGTGATATGGCTCAGCAGGTAAAGATGGCTTGCTGCCACACCCAGTGATCTGAGTTCAATCCTAGGGACCTACATGGTAGAAAAAAAAGAATTGACTCCTGTGGGTTGTCCTCTGACCTCCATGCATGCCTTGTGGCATGCACATACTTTCATACACACACACACACACACACACAATTTTTTTCAAGTCTTTATTAAATTTTTGTGTCATACAATATATTATGATCATATTTAGACCCTCTTAAAATGAATAATCTTTTAAAATATAGTTATTATTTTTGTTTTTTGTGTATGAGTATATTGCCTGCATGTATGTAAGTGCACCCCTGTCATGCAATGCCCACAGAGGTCAGAAGAGGGCATGGGATTCCTCTGGAAGTGGAGTTACAGACAGGTGGGATCTGGGAATTGAACTCAAGTCTTCTATAAGAGCAGCCAGTGCTCTTAACCACCAAGCCATCTCTGCAACCCTGAAATGAATAATCTTTTTTAAATTTTATTTTATTTATTATTTTTATTTTATGTGCATGAGTATATTGCCTGCATGTGAGTGCACCCATGTTGTGCAATACCATGGAGGTCAGAAGAGGGCTTCGGATTCCCCTGGAACTGGAGTTATGGACGGTTCATAGTCGCCATGTGGGTGCTGCACCCATGTTGTGCAATGCCTTGGAGGTCAGGCTTACTCTCCTGGAACTGGAGTTAAGGATGGTTCGCAACCGCCATGTCGTTGCTGGGAATCGAACTCGAGTCCTCTGCAAGAGCAGTTAATGCTCTTAACCGCTGAGCCATCTCTCCAGCCCCAATTGTTGTTTTTTTTTTTAAATACTTTATTATTTTTCTTTTATGTGTTTGAGTGTTATGCCTACGTGCACCCGTGTCACGCAATGCCTACGGAGGACAGAAGAGGCTGTTGGATCTCCTGGAAGTGGAGTTATAGACAGTTGTTAGCTGCCATGTGGGTGCTGGGATTCGAGCCCGGGTCTTCTGCAAGAACAACCAGTGTTCTTAACCACTGAGCCATCTCTCCAGGCCCTGCCTTACATTTTTATAGTAACAGAACAAAGAAAAGACATAAATCAAGACACTTTTCAAACACATTAGAGGATATATTCAGTAGGCAGGTCACAGCAAAGCAAAGGGTTTTTTTACTATAGGTCTCAGATGCTATTTGATGACATTCTTAGCCTTTTAATTGGTGAGACAGGTGGTCTGCTAGGAGAATACATTCTAAAAGGTTTTTTTATCTGTTAGTCACAGGATAATAGATCAGAAACAGAGGCAGGCAAGGAGTGGCTATTTAGGGGGCTAAAGATGGCCTGAGATAAATGGTAATTAGGCTCTGGACCAGCAACATTCAAAACTCTGAAAAACCAAAACCAAACAAACAAACAAACAAACAAACAAACAAACAAACAAATTCAGAGCTGTAGAGAAGTGGGCTTCTGAAGCTAGCTTTAGCAATGAGCAAAAGGTCTCCATTGGGTTCCACTTGAACTGAGAATTGGAGTGAGGGACTAGATCCTAAAGCCTGCAGCTCTCGGCTCAACTGAACTCCCAGCAACTGGTCCACACCCAGCATCTGACCCCTCCAACCTCTCTTCACACTCACCTGCGGGAAGGCAGAGGAGCCTCAGTGTTCTAAGGAAAAGTGCTGTATCTCAGGCTGACACAGGCCTCAAGACAGCCCATATTGTGACACTGTAAGGATTCTGCTCCTCCAGGACCCTCATCACGGTCTGCGGTCTGCGTCACAGTGGCTGCTTGGTTCCTGACCCTGCCACCCCCTAGGGCCTCCTGCCTAGCCTGAGATCTCGATGGAATGCTACAGATCTGAAGCATCAAGGCTTTGCCGCCCTCAGGCTGACATTCCTGGCCTTCAGCCATCTGGAGCAGAGCCTCCTGCCGCCACTACGGCCACTACGCTCCTACCAAGAAAAGCTTTTCACTCCCAGTTTCTGGTCCCAACTGACATGCTTTCCCTCACCAAAGACATCTGATATAGAGTGTGGCATGTGGCTACTATGGACTACATGGAACAAGGGACAAATGCTAAGCACCTCCCATCCTCAGTGGCTCTACCACCTTGGCTGGCTCACAGCCCAGGACAGCTCTCTTTTCTCCCCCAGCCTTGGTCTCTCACAAGTCACTCTTTGTTAAGCCTGAGTCCCAAGGGTATCTTATCTCCCTAAACAGGCTGTAATCTCCCCTGGAGTCAGGGACCCTTCACTTCTTGGCAGTCTGGAGTAAATAGCTCTCCTGCCAAAAGGCTGGCAGCCATGTGCAGCCACTGTTCACCAGGCCCTACCCTGGGCACAGTCTACCAGGCTTACTCTTACCTGCAAGGTAATTTTTCTGCCCTCAGGTCCCTGAGCCCCAGTGCTGACCTTTGGTTCCAATCCACCTGCTCTCACTGTTTCCCCTACCCTGACCCCCTTCCTTATCTGGCCCAGATGTCTTCCCTCAACCTCTGTAGGAATTCTGAGAACTCATGGTGCCCTTCCCCTCCCCAAAATCCAAGCTCCTTGAGGGCACTGTTTTTAGCCACTGGTACTCTCAAAGACAAGTAACTTGTCCATCACAGATGTCAGGTCTGGACCCAAGACTCTCCAGACAGCTCAAACAGTAGAGTGATTACCCACTCCCCCCACCCCCAGCTCCTAGCCCAAAGGATGCAGCCTGGTCCTCGGGACACTTCCAACTGATACACACATTCAGAGAGAGAGAGAGAAAACAGACTCAAGACTCAGAGGAGGGGCTTAGGTGTGTTTATTCCTGTATAAATCATTACAAAACCAGATCTGGGACTGTCACTGCCCCCCATTACCTCAGTGTGCAATGGCTTGCAGCAGGCTGGTCCCTCCCACTCCACAGCCTCCTCCCAGAAGCCCTTCCCTTACAGGCTGCGGAAGAATGGGGGGGGGACAGACATACCTCACCCAGTCCCAGCTTTAATAAAGTGCCTGAGCGAAAGACAGAACCCAGGTGACTCCAGCTTCTGTCTCTCTAAACCCATCCCAGTCAGACTTGGGGAAGACACCCCTCTCCAAAGTCCTCAGCATCTCCAAACAAAGACTGCCTGAGATCTGGGATCCCTCTTTCTCCGCCCTGAAGGCTCCTGGGAGCCCTCTCCTGCTGGAGGGTAGGAAGAGAAGCCTGGTCTTTTAAGAGCCAGGCTAATGGCAGCTGGGCTGAGGGGCTAAGAAAAAAGCTTAAGGTTTGTTCCATTTCTGTCAGTTCCCCAACCGTGGGGACATTTGCACAAAAAATACCCTAATGTTTTCTAGAGGGTGGGGAAGGGCACCTCATGGCACCCCTTCCCCAGGGAGCTGAGTCCCCCAGCAAGGGATGGTAGCTGGGGGATCTAGACTTAGGTACACTGGAGAGTGAGGGTCTCTGCACACAGGAACCTGACATCATCAGAGGGTGCCAAGAAGAGGGAAAGGCCTGTCCAAAGTCACTCAGAAAAAGCCAAGACCTGGACACCCGCCTCCTACCTCCTGGGCCTCACCATCACTTTTGTAACCTGGCACGTTCTCTGGCCTGGTCTCCTGAAAGCTCCTACCCCATATACCGTCTCTGATGCTGGCAACTGAGGAGAAACACCCAAGCCCGCAGCTCTTTGGGACAGGACCCCATTGTCCCAGCTAAGGAGGAAGTGATTTGGGGCCCATTCCTGGGGCTCTGGACCAAGGCCTCACAGGAAAGGACATGTCTTAAGCCTTAGATTGACTCAGAAAGACCCCATACCCTGATTGACTATGCTCAGACCCTGACTAGACAAGAAAGACCCCTTGACATCGATTAACCACAAAGCATCCCAAATCCCTGATTGGCCAAGAGATACCCCCAGCTGTGAGGCTGGAGGACAGAAACCTCATCAAGGCCCTGATTGGCTAGGACGCATTCCAGCCAGCCTAGATTGGTTGGAAGATGGCCATGGTAGAGTGGTTGAGCCCAGAGCCACTTCGCCTGTGTCCCTCCGAAGTTCCACGGACAGGGTGGCTAGGTCCAGGAGGGGTGGGAGAAGGTGATACCGTAGATCTGGGCCCAAGACGAGAAGACTCTCTTCTCAGTGATGAAGCGGTGATGGTTGCCCTTGCGGCTGTGCTCATTCTGGATGTAGGTGACACACTCATCTGGTCCCTTGGGCTCATAGTAGTGGTATGGCATGCGCTGCAGGCGGGGCCGCTGGCTGGGGACAGCAGACAGTAGTGTCAGTGCAGAGTGGGCATCTGCAGAGGTCTTTTTCCCTTTCCACCCCTCACCTACTCTACAGCCTAAGTCTCTGCCCCTCCTCATGCCTGTTTGCCTATCAATAAAATGGGTATATGGCAAACTAGGTTTATAACTATCAAGCTTCTTTTGTTGTTTTTGTTTTTTGAATCAGGGTCTCCTTTTAGCCACAGCTAGCCTGGAACTTGCTATGTAGACCAGGCTGGACTCTGCCTCCCCAATACTGGGATTAAAGGCATGTGCCACCATACCCAGCTTATCAAGCTTTTTAAAAATGTAGTGGAGACTCCCCAACAGAGCATCAGAGAGGGAAAAGAGGGCAGTGGTCTCTGTGACTTCAAGGCCAACCTGGTCTACATAGTGAGTTCCAGGCCAGTTGGGGCTACAGGGAGACCCTGTCTCAAAAAGACAAGAATGAAAAAAAAAAGAAAGAACTGTGGAATATTGAGCTATAGGGCTAGAAAAATAGCTCAGTGGTTAAGAGCACCTGCTGCTTTTGCAAAGGATCAGGGTTTGGTTCCCAGCATCCACATGGTGACTCATAAGTGGCTATAACTACTATAGTTCCAGGGGAGCTGGCACCCTCTTCTGGCCTCTGTGGGCACTGCATGCACTTACACATATGCAGGCAAACACATACATCAATAAAAATAAATCTTTAAAGAATCTGTAGGGTCTGGGGGCCTGGCCACACCTTATAGTTTGTGAGACCTTGGATCCCTCACTAAACACTCTCCTCAGGTTTTTCTCACCTAACAAATGTGGAGAAGGACAGTACCTGCCCCTCAGGGTTGCTGTGAAGAACAAGCAAAAATGCAGCCATGCTTGGTACATGGTCAGCACTCAGTAAAACACACCTGTAACTCAACAGACTTTTCATAATAGTCATTATGACAAAAGAAACAACCTAGACCAAGCTTGGAGTGGGAGCCCTGAGGCAGCTTCAAAGACCCCATCTCTGTAGAACAGCATGAATTCTCAGAGGTGCCCCAGTGAGGTCTCCAGACCTCCCTACTCTACCCTGTGACCAGTAACTGGGGATGGCCCACAGAGGGCATTGGTCAGGAGCACTCACCTGCAATAGTCAGGAGGGACCATGCCATAGACGTGCACGTGGTCACACAACTCCACTGCAATCACCATGGTAAACCAGCCTGTGCTCAACCATGAGTGGGACTTTTCCCTGGGGGCAGAGAGGGGTCATGATGAAGGGACATGCAGGCAGGTTTGGTGAATAGGCAGGGAGGAATGGTCACCCAATAGAGGTTCTCCCAGGAATTCCACCCACCATCTACCCAGGCAGTGCTCCCACGCCAATTGCCTGTGTCTTGCCCACTGTGGGAACATGTATGTTGGCAGAGGGCTTTCCAGGCAGAGGTGAAGGGCATGACATGGCTCGAGCTCCTCTGAAGGCAGCAATGGCAACAGGGCATGCTAGGATTCCTTGAGAGATTGGTCATAGTTGGGGCAGGCTGGGAGTGACCATGATCACAGAGCAGCTGTGCCTCCTCTGGAATCAATAATCAGAGAAGGTCATGCCGAGGTGATCACAGCACAGAGCAAAGTGTAAAGAACAGCTAAGGACCTGGGGCTGTGCTGTCACTATAGCAACCACCAAGGCTTTTTGAGCACCTGGCATTTGGCTGAGAGATGCTGCAAATGTCCAGTGTACCCTGGAGTTCTTGAATATAGATCTGTCATTAATAGTCTTTTTGGTATTGATTATATCTTAAATTTAAAATGTATATTGTAGCCGGGCGTGGTGGCGCATGCCTTTAGTCCCAGCACTCGGGAGGCAGAGGCAAGCAGATCTCTGTGAGTTCAAGGCCAGCCTGGTCTACATAGTGAGTTCCGGGACAGCTAGGGCTACAGGGAGACCCTGTCTCAAAAAGACCAAAAAAAATTAAATTAAAAAAAAAAAGAGTACAATAAAAAAATATTTTTTTAAAGAAAATATATATTGCATATATTTGGTTGAATATTGCATATATTTGAAAGTAGCTTTTTTTTGAGACAGGGTCTCCCAGTAACCCCAGCTGGCCTGGAACTGGCTATGTAGCCCAGGCTGGCCTCAAACTCAGAGATCCGCCTGGCTCTACCTCCCCAGTGCTTGGGAGTAAAGGCATGCGCCACCACGCCCAGCAAAAGTAATTCTTTAAAATAAGAAAACTCGCCAGGCATGGTGGCACACTCCTTTAATCCCAGCACTTGGGAGGCAGAGGGATCTCTGTGAGGTCAAGGCCAGCCTGGTCTACATAGTGAGTTCCAGGTCAGCTGGGGCTACAGGGAGACCCTGTCTCAAAAAGACCAAAAGATAAAATAAAATAAAATAAGAAAACTAGACCAGGCATTGTGGCACATGCCTTTAGTCCTAGCACTTGGGAGGCAGAGGGATCTCTGTGAGTTCAAGGCCAGCCTGGTCTACAAAGTGAGTTCCAGGCCAGCTGGGGCTACAGGGAAACCCTGTCTCAAAAAAACCAAAAAAAAAAAAAAAGAAAAAGAAAAAAAAAAAAAGAATAGAAAAGGAAACTACATCTCTATCTGGCAATGGAAACAAATATCACACAAGTAACTGAAGTCAAGAATAAAACAAATTATCATATCCCCCAGTAGATCTTAAAAAGCTGAAAACTTCCATAAGTAACTATATAAGTCTGACACCTTTGATGAAATGCACCAACTCCGTAAAACTCATGAACTACCCAAGTTGAAATAAGTCACCTGAACACTCTATAATGTTAAAGAAAATTAATTCAGTAAAAATCTTCTGGGGCCTGGGATGCAGCTTACTAGTAGAGTATACTTAGCGTGCTCCGGGCCCTGGGTTCCACCCCCAGCACTGCTGACTCATCTGTCCAGCCCTTTATTATTTTATTTTATGTATATGAGTGTATTGCCTGCATGTATATAAGTGCATTCATGTTGTGCAATGCCCACAGAGGTCAGAAGAGGGCATCAGATTCCTTGGAACTAGAATTACAGATGGCTGTCAGTCACCATGTGGGTGCTGGAAACTGAACCCAGGGTCCTCTGCAAGAGCAGTCAGTGTTCTTAACTGCTGAACCATCTCTCCAGCCAGCCCTGAGAGGGTCATTTTTCAATGCATGACCCTGAGACTCAAACACAGCAAGGGTAACTGTGACAAAAACACACTGGGTTGAAGATCCTAGCCAGTGCGATAAGACAAGAAAACAAGCAATAAGAGGCACACTGGAAAGGAAGAAATAAACTGCCCTTATCTGCATATATCATCATCAGCCTGAGCAATCCAAAGAGTCTATAAAAATCTCCTAGAACCAATAAGTCAGTTTAATAGTTATCGGGTCAACACATAAAAATTGATCATCTTGGGTGGGAGAGATGGCTCAGTGGTTAAGAGCACAGGACCTGGCTAACAACTGTCTGTAATTTTAGTTCCAGGGGATCCAATGCCCTCTTTTGACCTCCACAGCCATTGCACAACACAGGTGCACTTACGTATATTCAAGTAACACACCCATACACATAAAATAAAAATAATAAAGCCGGGTGTGGTAGCCCACACCTTTAGTCCCAGCACTCAGGAGGCAGAGGCAGGAGGATCTCTGTGAGTTCAAGGCCAGCCTGGGTTACATAGTGAGTTCCAGACCAGCTGGGGCTATAGGGAGACCCTGTCTCAAAAAGACCAATAACAATAATAATAATAAATAAAATATTTTTTAAAATTGATCTTTGATCTCACAGAGATCTGCCTGCCTCTGCCTCCGAAATGCTGGGATTAAAGGCCTGTACCATTAACACCTGGCCTCCACACGGCAGACCATCTGTAACTCCAGTTCCAGAGGATCCAACACTCTCTTCTGTCCTCCACTGGCACTGCATGACATGGGTATGCTTACACACATACAGGCATAACACTCATACACATAAAATAAAAAAATAAAAATTTAAAATAAATCTTTAAAATAACAATTAGGTATAAATCTACCAACATGTATAGAAGATGTATGTTGAATATATCAGGTTCAATAAAATAGATGAAAGGTTTCTTGGTCTTTTTTTGAGATAGCCACAGCTGGCATGAAACTCACTATCTAAACTCTGCCTGCCTCTGCCTCCTGAGTGCTGGGATTAAAGGCATGCACCACCATGCCCAGAGTGAAATAGACTAAAGTTAAATATGCATATTATTTTTTTAGCATGGCAACCATATTTTTTAAGCACTTTTTAAAATTTATGATTTAAAAAAAAATTTTTTTTTGGTCTTTTTGAGACAGGGTCTCCCTGTAGCCCCAGCTGTCCTGGAACTCGCTATGTAGACCAGGCTGGCCTCACAAAGATCTGCCTGCTTCTCTCTCCCAAGTGCTGGGATTAAAGGTGTGCGCCACCACGCCCAGCCAAAAAAAAATTTATTATTTTTATTTTACGTGTATGAGTGTATTGCCTGCATGTATGTGAGTGCACCTGTGTTGTGTAATGCCGCAGAGGTCAGAAGGGGGCTTCTGATTCCCCTGGAACTGGAGTTAAGGACGGTTCGTAGCCGCCATGTGTGTGCTGGGACTCGAACCTGGGTTTTCTGCAAGAGCAGTCAATGCTCTTAAGTGCTGAGCCATCCCTCTAGCCCCATGATTTTTCTTTTATGTGTATGAGTGTACTGCCTGCATGTATGTAAGTGCACCCACATCATGCAATGCCGACAGAAGTCAAAAGAGGGTGTCAGATCCCCTGGAACTGGAGTTAGGGATGGTTGTTAGCTGCCATGTGGGTGGTGGGAATTGAACCAGGGTCCTCTGCAAGAGCAGCCAGTGTGCTTAACCACTGAGCCGTCTCTTCAGCCCCAACATATTTTAAATTATATAGGTGGCCCATAGTTTATATTGGAAGGTAATCACCTGGGTTTCCAGGGAGATTAACCAGAGAAGAGAATGCTGGGAAAGATATATCCTTAGAGCAGAGCATGCTGGGAATAGTCAAGATTTTCCCTGAGGTGCCACACTATGGGGATTACCTCCTAGGAAGATGCTAGGAGTATCTGTAACCTTAGAACAAAGCATTCTGGGAGCATCAGTTCCCACAGGGTAACAGAGGCTAGGGGGAAACCTAGCTGGGAGGTGAGGCATGCAGGGCCTTTGGAAATGACCCCTGTTAACAGCTGGGTATACCAGAGAATGGCAAGAAGCATCCACCCCCTCAGCACAGTGCATGCTGGGAGTCACAGACCCTCTGGGAAATGCATGCTGAGTGCACAGGGATGACCAGAGCCAGCGGGAGGAGGCTGGTACCTGTCCTTTCCTGTCTCACCCCGGAAGAGGTCGTCAAATTGCTGCATGCGTGCGGGAGAGACAGCATAGGCCTCCATATTGGGGAAGACGAGGCCTGCCCGTTGAATGACGCGCATCAGGCTGCCCTGGGGCTTCTGCATCTTGCTCGGGGGACCCCAGAAGATGAACACAGTCTCGGGGGTCCGGTTGACAAATTCCTGGGGCCTCCGCAGCACACGGAACACACTGGAATGGGCCACTACCCTGAAGGTAGTTTTGTTACCAACGTCGCCCCAGTAGCCGGTGGTGGGCGCATCATTCATGCGGATGGTGCACTCAGCCTGCTCAATCTCGGGGCCCAGTTTGGTGCCCAGCAGGTGGCTGGAGCTGGTGACGATCACACACTGGTTACACCGGGAGGGCAGCGTCTGTGGGGGGTGGCAAGGAAAGTGAACATAATCAGAGCCACTCTGCACGGCCCTGTGCTCTATGCAGACAGGCCTGGGGAGTCAGGAATCATAATGCCCATTACAAAGTTCAGCAAATATTCCCAACAAGCTGGGGACATAGCCATGAACAGAGGACACCCGACTCCTCTCAGGAACCTTACCACCACAGCTGGGCAGCAGAGGCTCATGAGGCTCCCCCAAGAGAATTTATGGGCAATTAATGTTGCTGGGGCAGGGGAGACATTTTCCTCAGTGGTGTAGACATTGGTAAGTTGCCCAGGCTCCTGTAAGCTGACCCCAATGAAACTCACTGGATCACTAAACAAACTAACCAGAGTAGACTAGTTAGGAAGAGAAAGGGATCAGGGGAGTGGGAGGAGGAGAGGGACAAGGAAAGGTAATTGGGGGTGTGTGTGAATATGATCAAAATATGTAAATATATGCATGTATGAAAGTGTCACAATGAAGCCCATTACATGTAATTACATATAAAAATTTTATATATCTCAAAAAGACCAAAAAATTTTTAAATATATTATTTTTATTTCATGTGTCTGAGTCTTTGGCCTGCATGTAAGTGCACCACATGAATGCAAGAGGGCGTCAGATCCCCTGAAACTTGAGTTATGGATGGTTGTTAGCCACCATGTGGGTGTTGGGAATAGACCCTGGGTCCTTTGGAAGAACAGCAAGTGTTCTTAACCGCAGAGCCATCTCTCTAGCCCCCTAAAATTTTTATTTTTTGAGACAGGTAGCCCCAACTGGCCTGGAACTCACTATGTTGACCAGGCTGGCTTTGAACTCACAGAGATCTGCCTGCCTCTGCCTCTCCAAGTGCTGGGATTTTGCGCTTCAAAGCCGGGGTTTTTTTGTTTGTTTGTTTGTTTGTTTTAAAGCAGCTTCCAGCTGGAGCCAGACAGCCAACAGAATAGATGCTAGGGGGAAAAAAAAAGCCTGGGGTGGGTCTTCAGGAAGGAAGGGAGGCTGGCTTCTTTAGAACAGTTATCTCCTTACAGTGACATCTGAAGATAGGTTGACATTTAGCGAAAAGTATTCCAGAGGCACTCACAAGCACAGACTGAGCTGGGAATACAGGCAGGACGTGAGAAACAGAAGGAGGCTGGATGAATTAACTAGAAGAACAGGTCACCTCATCAGGAGGGCAGGGCTTGCACTAGAACCCACGCGGTGGCTAACAACCATCCATAACTCCAGTTCCAGGGGATCCAATGCCCTCTTCTGACCTCCTCGGGCACTGCACGACATGGGTACACTTTCAAACATGCAGGCAGTACATTCATACACATTAAATAAATAAATAATTTTTAAAAGACTTGGGGGCTGGGCGTGGTGGCGCACACCTTTAATCCCAGCACTCGGGAGGCAGAGGCAAGTGGATCTCTGAGTTCAAGGCCAGCCTGGTCTACTTAGTGAGTTCCGGAACAGCTGGGGGCTACAGGGAGACCCTGTCTCAAAAAGACCAAAAAAAAAAAAAAAAAAGTAACACATGCTTTAGCACACAAAACAAAACAAAACAAAAACTTGGGTCTTAATCTGCATCTAAATGCATGCTATAGACCCTTTCCCAGGTAGGGTATGTCCAGTGCCAAAGACCCTACCGTGGATATTACAAAGGCTCTGGAGAAAAATTCAGTGAGGGAGGACACCTCAGTATAACCTGAATTTCATGCTACCCTAGGTAAAGAGAAGTCCCCAGGATGACATGACTGGTTAATGAACCAGGACCAGAGGTGACCGTACTGAATCTTCCAAGTAACCAGGAATGAGTTGGCCTTTCTATTCAGCTGCGGTTTGGGAGACTGGGAAAATCTCTGGCCCCTCCCATGCTGTGCGGTTTTATCCAAGTGATACACCTCTCTGGGCCTTGGCTACCTCACCTCTTCTAAGGAAAAAAACAGTACTGACCAGCTGGCACTTGATAAACCATCACTGCACCTGTTTTTGTGTATTTAACCCTCTAGTGGTCAGCTCCCACACTCATGTGGAGTCTTCAGAGATCCACTAAAGGTAGAAATCTGACTCAGGAGACAACAGAATACCGTTTTTAATTTAAAAAAAATATTTGGGGGCTGGAGAGATGGCTCAGTGGTTAAGAACATTGGTTGTTCTTGCAGAAGACCCGGGTTCGAATCCCAGAACCCACATGACAGCTAACAAATGTCCGTAACTCCAATCCCAGGGAATCCGACAGCCTCTTCTTGTTGGGGTCCTCTGTTATGCAAAGTAGAAGTCACGATAGCTCACGAGCTCGGAAACCATGTGCTGCAGATTCCTTTCATAGCAGAGTCCAGGTCTACATGCCCAGAAAAGGTATTTCTTCCAGTGTGCTGGGCCCTTCTACATCAATTCGTAGTTAAGGAAATGCCCCACAGGCATAGCCAAGGTTAACCTGATGGAGGAAATTTCTCAGTTGAAGTTCCCTTTTTCCTAGATGTCTCCCATTTGTGTCAGGTTGACAGAAGAACAAATCAGCACAATTATCCCCTTGTTAACTTAACAAACTAACATATCACTATTAAACCATAACCTTTCCTTTCTTTTTTTCCCAAAAGATCTCATATGAATGTAATACAAATTACAGTGCAATTTTCAAAGTCCAAGAGTCTTTAAGGAGTTCAATACTTTAAAAGTTCAAGGTCTTTTGGGGCTGGAGAGATGGCTCATCAGTTAAGAACACTGATTGTTCTTGCAGAAGACCCCAGGTTGAATCCCCACACCCACATGTCAGCTAACAACTGTCTGTAACTCCAGTCACAGGGCGCTCGCCTATATCTTCTGACCTCTGCGGGCATTGCACATGGGTGCACTTACCTACATGCAGGCAATACACTCATACAAGTAAAATTAAAATAATCAAATATTTTTAAAACATATTTAATAATTAAAATATTAAAAATATAAAAATAAAAACTTTTTTTTGTTTGTTTTTTTTATTTTACGTGTATGAGTGTATTGCCTGCATGTGTATAGGCACACCCGTATCGTGCAATGCCCACAGAGGTTGAAAGAGGGCATTGGATTCCCCTGAAACTGGAGTTACAGGTGGTTGTGAGCCATCATTTGGGTGCTGGAAACTGAACCCAAGTCCTCTATAAAAGTACCAAGTGCTCTTAACCTCTGAGTCAGTCATCTCTCCAGCCCGTAGATTTTTTTGCTGGCTATTCAGTCCTGGCTGGCCTGGAACATACTATGTAAATCTGGCTGGCCTTGAATTCACAGAAATCCACCTGCCTCTGACTCCTGAGTGCTGGGATTAAAGGTGTGCGCCACCACATGCCTGGCTAATGTTAATGCTAGAAATTTTTTTTTTATACATTTTATTTTATTTTATTTTTTTGGTCTTTTTGAGACAGGGTCTCCCTGTAGCTCCAGCTGTCCTGGAACTCACTATGTAGCCCAGGCTGGCCTTGACCTCACAGAGTCCCGCCTGCCTCTGTCTCCCAAGTGCTGGGATTAAAGGCATGTGCCATCACGCCCAGCTTATATATACATATTTTATTTATTTATTTATTTTTATTTATTATTTTTATTTTATGTGTATGTGTGTATTGCCTGCCTGTAGGTAAGTGCACCAGTGTCATGCAATGCTGGTGGAAGACAGAAGAGGCTGTTGGATCCCCTGGAACTGGAGTTATAGACAGTTGTTAGCTGCCATGTGGGTGCTGCGATTCGAACCCGGGTCTTCTGTAAGAACAGCCAGTGTTCTTAACCACTGAGCAATCTCTCCAGCCCCCTATTTATTCATTTTTATTTTATGTGTATGAGTGTATTGCCTACATGTATGTGAGTGTACCCATATCGTGTAATGCTGCGGATGTCAGAAGAGGGCTTCGGATTCCCCTGGAACTAGAGTAAAGGACGGTTTGTAGCTGCCATGTGGGTGCTGGGAATCGAACCCAGGTCCACTGCAAGAGCAGTTAGTGCTCTTAACCACTGAGCCATCTCTCTAGCCCCTTTTTTTGATCTTTTTGAAACAGAGTCTCCCTGTAGCTCCAGTTGGCCTGGAACTCACTATGTAGACCAGGCTGGCCTTGAACTCACAGAGATCCGCCTGTCTCTGCCTCCCAAGTGCTGGGGCTACAGGTGTGCAGCACCACGCCCGGCTGGTTTTCTTTTTTTTTTTTTGAGATAGTTTCCCTATAGCCCCTGTAACTCACTGTGTAGACCAGGCTAGCTTTGATCTCAGAGATTCCCCTGCTTCTGCTTCCTGAGTGCTGGGATTAAAGGTGTCTACCACCATACCTGGCCCACAATAGAATTTCCTTTAAAAAATTCTATTTATTATTGTAATTTTTTAAAACCTATTTTTTTTTTTTTT